CCCCCGGCTGCCACTCCAGCCCTCCGCAGCCAGGCCCGACTGCAGGCCCCGTGGGGCCCAGGCCGCAGTGACCCGGGGGCCCCTTGTAAAGCGTGCAGAATTCCAGGACGACCGTTAGCCGGGGCCCAGGCGACTGAGGCAGCCCTGCCCGCGTGGAGAGGCTCGTCTCCCACGGCAGAGGGGGCTTCCTCGCAGTGTCGCTGGGGCCTGTGTCCTTGCTCTGAACGACCTAGCGGTCCCCACAGACCCCCTGGGGTGCACGCCCCGCCAGCCTGGCCCTCCCCACCCACCGGCCCCGCTCTGCCTCGCTGTCCTCTCTGCTTCTCCCTGGCCTCGCCTGGAGCTTTCTTCCATCTGCCTGGAGCTTTCTCCTGCCCCAGACTTCTGTGTGACTTGCACCTCTTCATGTTTGATGCTCAATTTCATCCAAACAGCCCCCCGGTGCCCTCCTGTGCACTTGATCTGTCTGCGAAGCTCTCATCCCCCCGCTCTGTGACAGTGCTCGTGGGTCTCCGACGGGGCCCCTTCTGGCTCCAGAACCTGAGACCCGCCTGGCCCCTGGCCGGCCCCCGCCCCAGAGGCGGCGAGTGGGCTGCGGGCGGGAGGAGCGGGGCCTGAGGACCTTCCACGCCACAGGGACCTGCTGGCGGCCTGAGCCCGGGGCCTCCTCTGCCCCAGCCTGGCTGCGCACGGCCGCCCAGCGCCCCGCGAGCAGAGACTGGGGGGGGTCCCAACAAGGGGCGCGCCTGGCGGCTGCAGAAGCCCAATGGAAAGCAGGGCGGAAGAAGGGCCGCGGGGCGGATGTGGACGTCTGCCCCGTGGCTCTTGCTGTGTTCACACTCGTGTGTGTGTGTGTTTGCCGGAGCATCCTCAGGAGCGTCACAGGCGTCTGACTCTCCGCCCCTGCGGACCTCAGCAGCGTCCCGAGAGCCCGCAGTTCAGTGTCGTCTGACATCCTGTCTCATGAAAGTCCCCGCTTGTCCCCAGAATGTCTTTAGGGAGCTTTCTTCCTCACACGGGGCTGTAGTGTCTCCCTCGTCTCTTTAGGTGAGGGGAGCCCCACTCATTCTTTTGCAATGGCAGAGCGTCATTCTTTCCTTCTCCCCTCCCCCATCTCTCTCTTATTTTGGGGGGCAACAGCTTTATTGAGATGAGTCACACATACAGTTCACCCACTGAAAGCATACAATTCCACAGTTTTTAGCATATTCTCAGAGTTGTGGAACCATCACCACATCCATTGTGGAACATTTCCATCACCCCATAAAGAAAGCCCAGACCTCCTAGCCTGGGGTACACTGTGCGTCCCTCTGTGTCTGCTTCTCTCACTGAGCATCGTGTGTTCACGGTCCATCCACGGTCCAGCCACGGTGTGGCTGTGTCAGGGCTTCACCCTTTTCATGGCTGCGTCGTCTTCGAGTGTGTGGGTGGACACGTTGTGTGGATCCATTCGTCCATTGATGGGCGTTTGTTTCCACTTTCGACTCTTGTGAATCACGCTGCTGTGAACATCTGTGTACAAGTTTCTGTGTGGACGTACGTTTTCATTTCTCTTGAGTGGACCCCCAGGAGTGGAATTGCTAAGTCAGATGGTAATTGTATTACCATCTTACAAAAGTGACGAAGGCAGTAAAACCCGTCGTTTCAACTCTGTTTAGATCACAGATGTGAACAAGAGGGTGAAATGTACAATGCTGGAGATGACGGTTGTGCTGGTAGATGAGAGAAGCATTTCAATCGAGGAAAATTATCTTCAAAACTTAAGTCCATCATGGGTTAAAGGGCACACAAATTTCCAGAAAGAATGGGCTGCTTAAATGAATCCTGTGCTCCATCCCGAGAGCACTCGCACCCCAGGGTTCTAAGAGACCTTGTAGGCCTGATTGTGAGGTGACTTGGGGTAATCAGAGAATCAAAGAGGCCCTGAGATAAGTCAGGAGACGTTTACCTTTTTGGGGAACCTCCAGACTGTTTCCATAGCGGCCGCACCGTTTCCCGTTCCCACCAGCAATGTACGAGGTGCTGATTTCTCTGCATCCTCGCCAACACTTGTCATTCTCTGTCCTTTCCAGGCTGGCCGTCCTAGTGTGGGTGAGCCGTACCTCACTGGTTTTGATTTGCGTTTCCCTGATGACGAACATGTGGACCATCTTTTCATGTCTGTCTTGGCCATTTGTCTGTCTGCTTTGGAGAAACATCTATTCAAGTCCTTTGCCCACTTTTTAATTGGGCCGTTTGTGTTTTATTATGGAGTTGTAAGAGCCCCATGTTTTTGGCATGGCGCTGTCTTGTAAAGAGCACATGGCTCTTTCTGGACTGTTCCGTGAGTTCCTTCATAGGGGCTCTCCCTTGGTCCTCCTCCTCCCATTTCCAGAAAACCAGAAGGTTGGCCCAGGGCTGGCGTTTAGTCAAATTCCTATTTTATTCCTGTTTTATTTCTTAAATATGTGCAGATAGGATTTTTATTTGCCCTCCTTCAAAAAGCATGTCACGGGTTATGGAGTGTTGGGATTATAAACCGTTTTAATTTTCTTCTTTAAATTTACTTACTAAAAGCTTTCATTGCAAAAGGCAGAAATATAAGACAAGAAAAAAATCTCTCAGCCCGCCGCTGAGCCGAATCTGGATGGTGGTGGTGGTTGGAGCGAAGCCGTCTGGCCAGCGTGTGTGCGCAGAACACTCTCCCTGCTGTCTTGTCATCTGCTGTCCCATCTCCGTGTCGTGGCTGTGATGTGAGAGCTCGTGTGCGCAGGGCCCTGGGGCTGCCCAGCCCTGCCCGGGACAGCTGGTCTCGGGGAGGAGACAGGCGTGCCCCACGGTGCCATCTCCCACCCACAGTGCCTGGCGGGTGGGTGGCTGGGCGGTGGGCAGGCTCTACTCGAGGGGACACAGCTCATCTCGGGGACCTCCGAGGGGCCTGTGTCCCTGTGCCCTGTAGGCCACACCTGAGCCAGCTGGGAGGAGAAGCAGGCAGCCGGCCAGGACCGGCTGAGCTGAAGATGAGAGCTGTGGGTGCACGTGGGTCCTGCGCCTGTGACCCACCAGGGCGGGAGACTCAGGCGGTCATGGCAGAGCCTGGCTGGGCGTCCGACCCTGTCACCTACCTTCCGTGGGGCCTGGGCACGTGCCTTCCCCGCGTGGGCCCCGTGGCCTCCTCCGTGAACTGGGAAAGACGGGGTTCCTGTGCGGAGTGGACGAGTCTCCACGTAAAACACGTAGGACAGGCCGGGGGCCTGTTACGTGTGACGTGTCCTCCGTGATGTGGAGGTTCACCAGAGTATCGGGGTCGGGGTGTGCCCCAGGCTGTGAGGCCCCCAGGACAGACTCGCTGTCTGTGAGCCGCCATGCAGCGGGGCCCTGAGTGAGTCCCCTGTGGCTGAGTCCGGGCTGGAGGGGAGAGGGCAAGTGGGGGGGGGCTTGGGTGGGGTGGTGGGTGGGGAATCAGGTGCTGGGCCCTGGCCACGGGTGGGGATGCCAGGCTGGGCCGGCGTGGTGGTCCCAGTGAGGCAGCCTCCAGGGTGGGCAGTGCCTGCTGCTCCAGAGTGGGGTTTGTGACAGCCCTCCCCTTCATAGACCCCTGTTGCATGGTGCTTCCCTGTGACCCGCCCCAGAGCTGTCGTCACAGGCCGTCACGGGCACGCGTGGCCCCCCCCGCGAGGAGAAGCCTCGAGACTCGCTGTGCTCATGGGACGCAGCAGTGACCCTCATGGGTCAGGACCCTTGGGGACCGTCACCCGCAGTCCAGCCGGGAGCGTGACTGTCAGAGCGGGGCCTTAGCTGCTGTCCCCCTGCCCCAGCCTCATGCGCCCCAGGGATGTGATGGGGTGTCGGGGGCGGGGCCTGGGATGGGCCCAGGGAGCTGCGGGCCTCAGCGGTGATTCCTGGGCACGTGCTGCCCTCTAGTGCCCGCCGGGGGGAGCGCACCTGGGGAGTGGGGTCCGTGTCCTGGCGACCGGAAGCCCTGGAGCACTGGCGGGCTCCTGCCTGTCTTGCTCATCGCCCAGCTCACTCTGGGGGTGGGGGGTGGACTTGGTTAACTGTCCTCCAGGTTCTGGGCTCCGTGTGCCCTTGGGTGCCCACGTTTTCCAAATCCTGGATTGGGTCTGGTATTTCGACCCGAGTTTGGAGAATTTAATCTGCCAGCAGAATTTAATCTGACAGACCCTTCCCTGGAGTCTGTCACCCAGCCCCTTCCTGCTTGGGGTGGGCCACCAGCCGCCCCGCTGGGTCCCCTTAACTCCCTGGACGGAGGGGGCGGCTCCAGCCTGCGCGTCCTCACCGAGAGGAGCCCCAGTCCCCACGTTGTCTCCAGGTGGCAGCCGTGAGTCACGGGGTGAGCAGACTCAGCCACGCCGTCCCCTCTGTGCCGAAACGCCCCGGCCTGGTTATAACCGGGGCGACCCGGAGCTTCTCGGATCTCGGCGAACGAGCCGTGCTGGCCGGGCTTTGTTCTGGTTCTGGCTTCCCGCCTTGGGGGCTGCCCTTGGGTCCCTGGGCAGTGTTCCACTGACAGCAGCCAGGCCGGTCCTGGAGGGACACTCGGTGCTCACGGTGGGCCCGCCTGCAGCAGGGGTCCCCTGCCCTCGGGGTCGCGCCGCGGGAGAGCCTCCCTCGCCTCCAGAGCCGCCACGTGCCGCTGCCGCGCGGGTGTCCAGCTCACGGTGGATGCGCTCATCTGACGCTGACGCCAGCGACCTGGCCGAGTCCCTGCTAAGGAAGCTTCTATTTCCGAGGCCCTGGTTTAAAATTAGCGCTTGGGCTTCCGGTGTCGCGTTGGCTCAGAACTAGGACGCTGCTGGCTTTAATTAGCTGAAGTCATGTCATCCTTTGTGCCAGGCAGAGTGATGAAGGCGCTCCTGGTCCCCTCCCTCGCCCCGGCTCAGCCGCGCGGCCCGCAGCCCTGGTCTTCTGGGGCCGCGGGTTTTCTAGCGTGTTCTGGAGAGGAGAACCGGCATGGTGATGGGGCTGACAGGCTCACGCTCTCTTGTCTCCCCTCGCAGGTGTGGCGGTCCCCCGGCTGCAGCCATGGGGTCTGAGGACCATGGGGCCCAGAACCCCAGTTGTAAGATCATGACGTTCCGGCCAACCATGGAAGAATTTAAGGACTTCAACAAATACGTGGCCTACATCGAGTCCCAGGGAGCCCACCGGGCGGGCCTGGCCAAGGTGGGTGACGTCCTGGTGCCCGCGCAGCGTCGCACAGCCTCCACCCCACACATGTCCTGGGGCCCCGGGTCCCAGTGCGGCCGTGGCCTAAGGCTGCGTGTCCCCCGTCAAGTTGTTCCTTGAGCCACTGTGACCTCGTTTATCAGCAAACGTGACGGAGTTCTTCCTCTGTGCCAGGCACTGGTCTGGGCACTGAATTCAGCAGTGACTCGCACCACCCTGTCTCTGCGGGAGCTGGCCGGCTGGGGCGGGGACACACAGTCTCAGGGGACAGCGGGCGCAGCGTGGCTGCGAGTCCCACCCACCTGGGGGAGAAGGGTGTCAGCGTCTCCCCGTTAAACAGCTGTTGTTTTGAGACGCAGTGCACGTGTGAGGCAGGGTCAGGCGGCCCGCGGGGCAGAGTGACGTCCCCCCCAGCTCCTCTCCCTGGAAGCCCCCTTGCCAGTTTCCTGTCTCTTTCCGCGGCCCGATCTGCACCTGTGTGAGGACAGACAGACAGACAAGCACGCCCCGTGCTGCTTTTAAACATAAACGGCCGCCTACACCCTTCTGCACACGTAACAGATCTGGAAGATGGAGGCTGTGTTTCTCCGTCTTCACGTGGACCCGGGTGTGCGGCCCTGCTCGCCAGAGAATCTGGAAGATTCATCATCTGTTTTGGGTTCTTCTGGTTGCTTCCTGTGTGACAGTCACTTTATCTCGATACCTAGTTCTCTGTTTCTTAGGGCTTGGTAACCGTTGTCTACAAGGAGCCAGATAGTAAGTGTTTTCAGCTTTGCAGGTCGGGCGGTCTCTGTCGCCACCTCTCAGGTCCGCCACCGTAGACAGTCCTTAAACCAAGGGTGCGCTGTGCGCCAATAAAACTTTATTTATGGACCCTGAAATGTGAGTTTCATAGAACTTGCACTTGTCCTGAAATTTGCTGCTGCTCTTGTGATTTTTTCCCCCAGCCATTTAAAATCGAAAAAAACCAACAAAATGTTCTTCACTCACAGGCTGTACAAAAGCGGGTGGTAGGCGGATTGGGGCTGGGTTTGCTGTGCCCCGAGCCGGCGTCGGCCCCCTCTGGTGCCGGGAGGAGATGAGGGTCCCGCCTCCCTCCCCCGCCTGGCGTGGTTGGTTTTGTTCCTGAAGTCTTTCCTCTCTGGTTACATCCCTGCCTTCCGTCTTGGCCGTGGAGATCCAGAGAGCAGTGGGCTTGCGGCGTCTTTTTCCTCTCCCTGCCCTCTTGGGTTTTGTTCCCTGCAAACTGTGACAGCGCAGACACGACGGAACGTTTCATCCGGGCGGGCGCCATCGCCGCCCCGTCCTCTCAGCTTCAGTTCTCCCTGTAAAGGGCTCTCTGCCCGGTCTCGTTCGGCTGAGGTTGGGCATCTCGAAGAAGGCTCTGGAAGCCTGGGCTTCCTGCGGGTTCTGAAGGTCTGCGTGGGGCTACTCTGCCCGCTGCCCGTCGGCTGGTGTCCGCTGTCAGGTGACACTTCGGACAGACCCCCAGTGGTGGGGAGACTCAGGCCCGCGAGTCCCGGGGCCGTGGGGGCGGGGGGCCCTTCCTTTATCGGGGACCTCGCTCGCCTTTGGCTACGTCACGGTCCTGCCTGCACGTTTCCCAGGACGCAGCCCCCGCCTGCTTTCAGACTCAAGTCGCCCTTCCTGCCGGGAGGGTGGATAACGAGTGAGTCTCGTGGCTGCTCTGCAGGAGGCACCTTTACATCCACCCCGTCGTTTCTGTTGCTCTCGTCTGCTCTCCGGGTTCCCGGCGGGCCCTTGGCCCCGGCGTTTCCAGCACCTTCTGTCCGTGGGGCCTCCTGAGATCTGGTCTCTCCCACGTCTTCGCCTTCCCTCTGCTCCTTCCCTCGTCTCCTTGGAGCTTTAAGCTTTCAGTTCCAGTGGACCAGTTTCTCCCTAACTTCTTTGAGTCAACGGGAAACCGTGTGGACGCGATCTCTCTGTGAGGAGGGTGTTTTCAGGTGTGTTTTCCCTCTGCCTTTTGCCCCATACTCCTTCTCACTCTTCTCAAGTGTGTTTTATTTGTCTCTGGCTGGCAGTCGCCTTCGGATGGGGACTTCTTTCTGAAGGCGGCCGAGGGGGCAGCCAGTGGGGGCAGACACAGGGCTTCTCTGTGCTCAAGGGGGCGGGGAAGCGGCCCCCACAGTCGCTGAGGGATCCTGGCGGTGACAGTCACGCCGACAAACACGTGCGCACACAGCCGTGCCCCCGCCTCGCAGGATGTGGTGCCAGTGCTTCCAGTCGCCCCTCCGCTCTGTGGGGACAGGTGGGGATGGGGAGGCATGTGCCCTGGCACCCTCGCTCTCAGACGGCAGCCTCGGCCTCAGGGCTGCAGCCTCCTCGGAGAAGGGACCCGGTGTCCTGCTGGCCTGAGCGAGCTCTGCGGACAGGAGCGTCCCCCTACCCTGGTTTATCAGCCTTGACGGCCCGTGTGTGTGTGCGTGCGCGCGTGTGTATGTGTGTGTTGGCGGGTTCCCTTTTTCATCAAAGCTGTATCTGGTCCCCGCAAAGGGCCTGGTGGAGGTGGGTGGGGTGGGCACTCAGCAGGCGCAGCCAGAGCGGGGCCCGGAGCCGGAGGTGGGCCACGCTGGGGCTGTGCGGTGGCCGTCGTGCTCCTTGGCTGCTCCGCGCCTGCCCTGGGGGCTGCTGCTGAGCTGTGTCCCTGCCTCCCAGAGCAGGGCTGGGCCTCTCAGGCCCCTGGGGCAGCGCCGGGGCGGGAGGGCCCCAGGGAGACAGCGTGGGGTCCTGTAGGGGGTCAGGGTGCTTCTGTGCCCTTCCCAGTGCTCGGGTGTGTCCTGAGTCAGTACCTGCAGCCGGACAGTGCCCGGCTCCTCTGAGCACCAGGCCGGCCACCTGCAGAGTGGCTTTGGGATGAGGCATTTGGGGGGCAGAGGCTGGCCCCTCACTCCTGCCCTCTTGCGAGTCCCCACACCTTCGGCCCCTGCTGCCTGGACGCTGCCAGCTTTGCCCACCTGGCGCCACCTCCTTCACTGGGCTGTGGCCTTCCCGTCCCTCCGGCCCAGGCGAGGTCGCCCCCAGGAGCGTCGAGGGAGGGTTCTCAGGGCCACTGAGGGTGCGTCCGCGGGTCCCTCCCAGGCCGTCGGTGTCCGCACTCGGCCGTGCCCGGGGATGGTGGTGGCGCAGAGGAGCCCCGGCGCTCGTCTGGGGGCGGAGAGTGCGGGAGACATGGGTCTGCTCATCTTGCTGCTGCCTGGGCTCGGGGGTGGACTGCGTCTGCTGGCCCTGGAGGGTGAGGCCTGTCCCTCGGGGGACACCTGGGGGCAGACGGGGTCCGTCCTGGTCCCTGGCTCTTTCCTGCAGAGGAGCTTCAGGCTTTTCTGTAAAGAGGAGACGTCGCCTGTGTTCAGAAGCAGCCTAGGGTCGCGGAGCCTTCGTCCCAGAAGCTCTTCTCCACGAGAACGTCGCACGTCCCTGCGGCGCAGGCCCTTTTATTTTTATTTCCAGCCTGGAGTGTTTTCCTTTATCACCTGGCTCTTCAGATTTCTTGCTTGAAGTTGAAGGAGACTGTCGGCCGGCAGGCTGACCCCGGGGCCCTGCAGTCACGCGGCCTTGCCCCAGACACGGGCACCCGGGCGCCTGTGGCACCGTGGCCGCAGTTGACACGGACAGGGGAGAGGAGATGTCCCCAGAGAGAGGCTCGACTGAACAGTCGCGTTCTCCAGGAGGTGGCTCATCCCGTTTAACTCTAAATTAGGGTCCCCCCCGCCCCCAGCACTGCTGACATCAGGGCAGGTTATTCTCTGAGGGGCCCGTCCTGGGCGCTGTGGGGGTTGAGCAGCATCCCTGGCCCCACCACACTCGATACCAGGGGCTCCCCCAGTGTGACAGCCACAGACGTCCCCAGACGTGGCCCCGTGCCCCTGGGGGCAGGATGCCCCTGTGAGACCCCTGCCTTCTCCTCATTGCCGTGTTGTTTCCGTGTGTGTATTTTGTGAAGAGGCCTCGCAGTGCGGACTGGACGCAGCGCCGTCCTCTTGTCAACAGGCAGCCGGAGAAAAGCGTTTCTCTTGCCAAGCACATTTTCTCCCACCCACGTGACAGCGCATCCTTGGGGTGGTGAATGGGTCTCAGCCGTCTGGAAGCTGGGAAAACTCAGGCATCAGTACGGTGGTCTCCCTCACCGGCCGAGCAGGGCGAGGGCTCAGCCTCCCCCGGGTTCACGGCCGATGCACTGAAAACGGGTTGGTTTAGGTCCTTTTCCCAAAGCTGTTGGGTGGCCTAGAAGGAGATTGGGGTTCACAAACACCCACCCTGGACAGGGAGGGACCAGCCCGTGCTGGCCGGTGGGGCCTGCACAGAAGTGTGCCTGGTGCCCGGGAGGCCCGCGGCCCAGCCCAGAGGTCAGCGTCCACCAGAGGAGAGGGAACGAGGAGGTGAAGGGGCCGGGAGGGGCTTCCTGAGCCCCAGCCAGCTGAGCACGGTGTCTGTGAGGGGCCTGCTCTCTCCTGGCCTGGACCCAGCACCCCTCTTGCCCGGGCCAGGGGAGACACCAAGCCCTTCCTGCCGGCCCTGAGTGTCCCCTCCTGGAGAGGGGTGGGGAGGGGCAGAGAGCTGCCACCTGTCCGGTCCGGGCGCAGAGACCGCCTGCTGGCGGGGGGTGGGCGGCAGTGACATGGCCTTGGCTCAGAGGTGACCTTCTCAGGTCACCACCCACCTGGAGTTGTCACCCTCCCCCACCCTTCTCCATGCTTTCTCCTTAGTCCTTACACCTGTGACCTTCCTGCGGAGTCCCTCATGTCTAACCTGAATCGAGCATTTGCCTTCTCCAGCAGTGTCAGTCCCGCCAGGGCCGCGCTCTCTGTTTTCCGCTGTCTCCCCGGCACCTAGAGCTGCGACTGCTCTGGGAGGTGGCCGTGGGGCAGGGCTCCTAGCGTGAGTGTCGCCCTGTCCCTCCCGGCTCTGCTCGCGGGGCTGTCCGCCTGGTCCTCAGCAGGCCCGCAGTGCCGGTGTCCACAGCCGGAGGGCGCCGCGGCAGAGCGCCTGTGACAAAGCCCGCGTGTGCCAGTGCAAGGGTCCATCCCCAGGCGGGGGCACACATGCCCCGCCAACCAGGTTGCTCCCTCTCTGATGGTGCAGAGATGTCTGGGGTCGGCCTGGCCGGCTGTAGGGCCTGTGGGCCATGTGCGCAGAGGCGCAACAAGCCCAGCGGGTGGCCCCGTGTGGTGGGCCTGGGCATGACCCTGGGACCCTCCCTGGGCTCCTGGGAGAGGCAGCGCATTGCCTGTGCCCCTGCCCGCTGTCCGGTCCCGAGCGCTGTGCCCGCCTGGAGGCGCCGCTGACCCCTCTCTCGGTCCCACAGATCATACCCCCGAAGGAGTGGCGGCCGCGACAGACATACGACGACATCGACGACGTGGTCATCCCCGCCCCCATCCAGCAGGTGGTGACCGGCCAGTCGGGCCTCTTCACGCAGTACAACATCCAGAAGAAGGCCATGACGGTGGGCGAGTACCGCCGCCTGGCCAACAGTGAGAAGTACGCGTCGGCTTGGGGGGAGTTGTGGGGGGGCAGGGGGCCCCCATCCTGGCTCTGTGCCCCGCACCTTTGAGGCCTCTGTGCCCCTGACGTGGGGCCCTCGGTGCCCCTGGCTCTGCGAAGCACCGTCCTCCAGGGCCCCGTGGGGGTAAACAGTGGGGCGCACGCAGCCCCACACAGTGTATGTGGCCCGCTCTGTGGGCACTGGTGGGGCTCGGCACCCCCGTGCTCAGAGTCCCCCAGTTGTCAGGGGGTGAGATCCACACCCTCACCCGGCCCGGGGCCACGCCGTCCACCTCACGCTGCCCGCGGCACTGACTGCCCCTCGGGGCTCACCCTGGTCCCCGTCCCTGGAGTGCTGCCCACTCCCCCATGACGTCTTGGTTCTGACAGCACCTCCTCAGAGTGGGCTCCCGACACGTCTCCCCGCGTGCCGCTTCCTGGATGTGGCACAGGCGGGCACACTCACGCACACTCCCGTGTGCTCGTGGGCGCATTCACGGGTCACCCACACACTCGTGGGCACTGACAGTGCGGACACCACCTCCGTTTACTCCTCCCTGTCCTGTTTGCTCCAGCCCCCCTGGCTCTCTGGAACCGTTGGTGTGTTCCCCGCAGGCTCTGCTCTCACACACACGTGTCCCCTGAGGGCAGGGCCTTGTCTGCGCTATCACACGCTGTCCCAGGCCCTGTGTCTCCTCACCAGCTCCCGTGCCCCTGCCGTGGGTCCTGTCTTGAGGCCCGGATGGCAGACGAGCTGGGACGCGTGGCACATTCCAGGCCCCTGCCCGCCCGTCCTGTCCACACTCGCCCCTGGCGTGGATGCCCTCCACCTCTACCCGGCCCACGTCCGTGTTCCCCGGGGACAGCGGCGGGGACGGCGGCAGTCTGAGCCGGCCCCTCACGTGGTGTGTCCCACGGGCGCCCCACGCCTCTGGGCCGCGAGCATGGGGCGCACGCTGTGCGCCGCGGCCCACCGTGTGCCGTCTGCCCGCAGGTACTGCACGCCGCGGCACCAGGACTTCGACGACCTGGAGCGCAAGTACTGGAAGAACCTGACCTTCGTCTCGCCCATCTACGGGGCCGACATCAGCGGCTCCCTGTACGACGACGTGAGTTCCGGGCCCACGGCGGCCCAGGCCGGGTCTGGGGAGACGGGGGCTCGGCGTCCTGGTGAACGGCGGGTGTGGGGGAGGAGTGGGGTGGGCTTTGTCCTGAAGACGGAGTTGACGTGGCGCGCACAGCTCGGCCGGGCTTCCTGCTCGCGCTCTAGTCGCAGCTGCGCCGGGTCTGGGGGGAATCCCGGAGGAGGCCAGTGGTTTCTGAGTTGCAGGATCTTTCCCACCAAAGGGCAGAGCCCTGCCTTCCCGGGGCCACCCCCTCCGCTCCGCAGCTGCCCTCCGCGGCCCTGTCACGGAGCGGTCCCGAAAGGTGCTGTCGGGCCTCTCGTTCCTCCTCCTGGGGCCTCCTGCATGCGCGGTTACTCGAGGACTGTTCTCCCCGAGTTCCCGTCACTCCACCTTCCTGGAAGCCTGGGAGCCGAGTTCTCAGCTGGTCAGGCTGCCGCTGGGTTCACCGCGTCTGGTCCCCGTGCGGAGACACCCGGGGCGACGGAGGGGCCTCTGCTGCTCGGGCTCCGGGCCTGTCCCAGGGCGTCGGCCAGACGCAGACGCCCCAGAGAGGGGCTGGGGCGGAGCGGGGGAGGTTTGAGGGGCACCTGTAGGTTTTAGGGGCCAGTTAATTAACGTTTGTGGGGTCTCTGATAACCCTGGGATGGATCTTCTGGGGTGACTTTCAGAGTCACTAGCCTAACACTTTCCTGGGTGTGCTCTGCGCGGGGCACCCTAGGCTAACATCTGGCCCCTCCACTCCCTGGGGAGGCCCCTCTGCCCCCACAGTGCTCCCTCTCCTGCGTCGTCCCTCTGAAGGTCATCTCTTACCAGAACACTCTCTTTGTCCACCCAGCCGGTGCTCCTGGGAGAGCCACTAGGGCGCCCCTGGCCCGGGTCTCGGGGAATGAGGCCCCTCCTGAGAGGGGTCGGGCCCTCCGGGACACCCAGAAGAGGAGCCGTGAAAACAGGTGGTGGCTTGTGTTCCCCAAATGTGTTGGAAAGACGTGGCCGCCGCGGGGGGCCCAGCAGGAGTCGCCAGCCAGCATTTCAGTCGCCCAGCCTGGCGGAGCCCATCGACTAAGGGCTGGCTCTGCTGTGTGGCCGTTTGGTCCTCTCGTGGCCCCGAGGGCGTTAGTTTGTTATGTGGAAGATACATGCCAGGCTGGAAGTGAGCTCGCCTGAGAACCCGAGGGAGACGCCCTCGCCCCTGAAGGTCGGGAACCGAGTTTGCCCTGGGCCCAGTTTCCTCTTCCCTGGGCCTCGGTTTCCCCATCAGTAAAATGGGTGCGTGGGTGCACGGCAGTCCTCAGGCGAGGGTGTCCTGGCCCAGGAGGCTTGGCTTCTCCCCGGGACCCCGAGCTTGTCCACTTGGCCTTGACCCCAAGCGATGGCCTGCTTGCTGAGACCGTGCAGCCAGGCCTTGTTCCCTGGGAGCAAAGATGCACCCCCTCAGGCACGGGGAGGTCGGGGCCCCGGAGGCCCCTGTTGGCGCACGCTGCGGCCCGGCTGCACACGTTTAACACGCCCGCTGAGACGGCCGTGTGTCCCGACGCTCCCGCCCCGGCTCCCCTTGGCTCGCGGGGCTCGCCCATCCGCGGCCCTGCTCCTCCCAGAGGCCGGGAGCGGTCGCCCCGTTTATCGGGAGTCTTGGTCACAGAAGTGTATTTTGGTGCCACGAGCCAGCTTGCCCTGGGCCGTGCGGAAGTCCCGGTGGCGGGTTGGCAGGGCTGTGTCCCCTGGGGTTCCCGGGGCCCGGCCACCTGGCTGGTGGCTGCTGGTCCTGGTGCTGCCTCTGGGTGCTGGCCCTGCCACTCTCCCCACGTCCCTGCCTGTGCCAGGGCCTCCCGGCCCAGCGAGGGGCCAGCTCCCCGTCCCACGTCAGGCCGCAGAGGCCCGGACCTCCTGCTCCTCCGGTTTCGTCCCTGCTCGTGGCTCCTCCTGGAGCCGCTGGGGCAGGAGCACAGCGGGGCGTGTCCCTCGCGGCGTCTGATCCTGAGAACGCGGAGCAGTTCCTCGGGCCTCCGTAGCCGGGGCCTCTGTGCTTCAGACGCCACCCTTCCTGTTGAGACGGTCAGTCCCAGCAGCGTCCAGATTCTTCTCCCCACTTCAGGTGCGGACGCTGCGTCTTAGCGGCTGGGAGCCTCGCCCCGTCCTGCCCTCTGTGTCCAGTCCGGCTCTGGCGTCGGGATCCAGGCCGCCTGGTGGGTGGCCCCAGCCTGTGTGCCCTGCCGTCCTGGCCACCCGCACTCCTGCCTCGGCCGCGGTTTGGACGCAATAATTTGATCTCGGAGCTCAGGGCCCCCTCCCGTCAGCCGGGCCCCAGCTTGCAGCCCTGCTACCCGGTTGATGAGTCGTGACTCGTAGGAAGGGGATTGGACCCCGACAGCTGACTGGAGGGCAGAGCTGAAGGTCACGTGCTCTGAAGATGCGTGTGGATGCCTGCTTGTCACAGGATCCATTACCGTCCACACAGAGATGTAGGAAGTCAGTGCTGGGTGGGTCGTGTCTGTGTTGATCATCTGGTTTACTGTTTCTTTTCTTTTTCTTTTTTTTTTTGCTGAGGAAGATTGGCCCTGAGCTAACATCTGTGCCAGTCTTCCTGTATTTTGTATGTGGGACGCTGCCTCAGCATGGCTTGATGAGCAGTGCGTAGGTCTGCACCTGGGATCCGAACCCACAAACCTGGACCACCAAAGCAGAGCGCACCAAACTCAACCACTATGCCACTTTAAAAAGGGCTGGCCCCTTTTTAAAATTTTTTAAGTTAATTTAATTTATTTATTATTTTTGCTGAGGAAGATTGGCCCTGAGCTAACATCTGTTGCTAATCCTCCTCTTTTTTTTTTTTTCTTGGTGAGGAAGATTGTTGCTGAGCTAACACCCGTGCCCATCTTCCTCTATTTTATATGTGGGACACTGCCACAGCATGGTTTGATGAGTGCCGTGTTGGTCTGTGCCCAGGATTTGAACCTGCAAACCCTGGGCCGCAGAAGTGGAGTGTGTGAACTTAACCACTATGCACCAGGCCGGCCCCCTCTTTTAAAAATTTTTTAAAGCATCACTGAGATACCATTCACGCACGGAGCAGTTCACCCATTTAAGGCATATAATTCAATGGTTTTTAGTGTATTCACAGAGTTATGCAGCCATCACCACAGTCAATTTTAGAACATTTTCATCACCCAAAAAAACAACCCCGGACCTGTTAGCAGTCTCTCCCCATCCCCTCCCCAGCTCCTGACAACCACAAACCCACTTTCTGTCTGTGGATGTGCCTGTTCTGGACATTTCACACCAATGGACTCACACACTGTGTGTCCTTCTGTGTCTGGTTCTCTCACTGAGCGTCGTGTGTTCAGGGTCCGTCCACAGTGTGGCTGTGTCAGGGCCTCACGCCTCTTCATGGCTGTATAATATTCCACTGCATGGATGGACCACGTTGTGTGTATCCATTCTTCAGTAGATGGACATTTGAATTGTTTCCACTTCTGGCCGTTGTGAATCATGCTGCTGTGGACACGTGTGTACAAGTCTTTGCGTGGACACGTGCTTTCGTTTCTCTTGGGTAGACACCTTGGTGGAATTGTGAGTCACATGGTAGCTCTGTGTTTAAATTTTGGGGAACTGCCAGATTGCTTGTTTCCACAGCAGCTGCACCATTTTACATCCTCACCAGCCGTGTGTGGCGGTTCTGGGGTCTCCACATCTCCTCGCCTACACTTGTTCTTCTCTGCCTTTCTGATTCTAGCCGTCCTAGTGGGTGTGGACTAGTGTCTCATCATGGTTTTGATATACCTTTTCCTGGTGACATATGATATGGATCATCTTTTGATGTGCTCGTTTGCCATCTGTGTATCTTTTTTGATGACATGTCTGTTCAAATCTTTGGCCTATTGGTTAAACAGGTTGTTTGTTTTCTTATTGTTGAGTTTTAAGAGTTCGTTGAATATTTTGGCCAACGGTCCTTTATCAGATGTGTTTTTTGTGAAGATTTTTTCCTAGTCTATAGCTTGTCTTGTCATTCTTTGGAGGACTCTGCATTATTATTTTTAAATAAAAATTCAGAAATTGGAGCCTGGTCCAGTGGGAGCCTCTGGGTTTGCTCTTGTGTGCTGCCTGCGGTCGGTTGTGGTGATGGCCCTGTGCAGGCTCCGCGGGCCGAGGCCGAGGCCGTGTCTGACCTAGTGCAGCAGTCTCCTTCTACAGATGGGGAAACTGAGGCCTAGAGCAGAGAAACCACTTACCTTGTCACAAAATGAATTATTGCCCAGCTCAGACTAGGCCCTGAGTCCCCCCCGTAGCCGTGTTGTGGACGTGGGGACTGGACAGTGCGGTGAATCGGACCCAGCGTTAGGGAGGTGATGTGTTTCTGGTGGCCCCCGACCTTGGGCTTCTCATCCTCATAATGAGGGGTCTGATCGCTGCCCCCACACTGTGCTCTGGTCTCCCACCAGGGCTCGCCTTCCAGAGACCACCCGCTGGTCCTGCCAGGTCAAGGGCCTGGATGTGGACGGGCAGGGGTGGCGCCGGGTGGCTCTGGGCCAAGAGAACGCTGACATTCACCCTCGTCTCAGCAGGCTTGGAGGGTTCTCCAGGGCCTGGAGTTAACTGACGCGTATTTCATGAGCTCTCGTGACGTGAGCGGGTTTGTTTGCTGGTGGCATTCGGAGTGGATGGGTCTGGCGGGTGGGGATTCCAGCCTTGTTTGCCTGGTTCTGAGTGCCGTCCGCATGTCCTCCGTGGGAAGGTGCTGGGCTGGCCCCGCTCGGTGATCGTCTTCCTCCTTCCGTGTCATTGACTACGAGGCACGTTCATTACCCATGACCAAACCGCGGCCTCCGCAGCGTGGCCTCACCGCCCGTGATTAACTCACAGCTCAGCGTGGAATCCAGAGGCGGCCCTGCTGAGGCCTGTGGGCTTGGGGGGGGGCACGTCTGCAGGGTGTGAGCTGCCCGGGGTGGGTTTCAGGCGCGGGGGTGGGCGAGGCCCCGAAGTGGGCAGGCTCAGGGCTGGCCGCCGGCCTTCCCGTCCTCCCACCAGCGTCTGGGGGTGGCCAGGGGGGGTGCCCGGGCCGGCCGGCCCCTGACCGTGTGCTGGCCCCCTGCAGGACGTGGCCCAGTGGAACATCGGGAACCTGCGGACCATCCTGGACATGGTGGAGCGGGAGTGCGGCACCATCATCGAGGGCGTCAACACCCCCTACCTGTACTTCGGCATGTGGAAGACCACCTTCGCCTGGCACACGGAGGACATGGACCTCTACAGCATCAACTACCTGCACTTCGGGGAGCCCAAGTCCTGGTGAGTGTCGGCCGGCGGGGCCACGGGGAGGGGCTGGGTCGGCTCGTCTGGGCACACGGGTGGGGGCGCCTTCTGAGTGCCTCTCCGGGACGTGGCTGGGCTGTGGCCTGGCTGTCGGGAGGGGCTGGCTTCAGAGGCAGCCTCGGTGTACCCACGAGGTTTGGGGGTGAGGGGGTGCACGCCCCCCGGAAATGAGCTTCCCAACCCCCAGAGCTGTGGTTCCCCCAGAGAGCCTCCGTCTGTGCGGGGGCTGGCCTGGCTTCCTGCTGCACCGCCCGCAGCCGAGTCAGGTCAAGGCCGCTGTGCCGGGGACTCCCGGGGGCTGCGGACCTGGGGGGTGGGTGGCTTTGAGCACTGAGCCCCCGTCGCCTCCCTCTGGGCCTCCAGGTTTGGGGTGGGGTTAGTGCCAGGCCTCCACTCTCTGGGGGTCCCCCTGGTCTGCAGGTGGAGGGCTGGGGTGGGTGTGCCGGCCCTCCCTCTGTGAGCCCCCGTGTTCTGGAATCTCTGAGCTGAGACCCACCGCACACCCAGCCTCTGCTGAGCGCACGCAGAGCTGCCTTCTGCTCAGGCTGCCCTCGTTCTGAGACTTCTGGGCCCGGGGTTTGCAGCTCCCTGCCTCTCCCCCGTCCTGGAAGGTTCTGTCGCAGCTCAGAGGGGCTGGAGGGGAAGCGGGAGCCCGGGGAGCAGGCTGTGGCGCTCAGGAGCTCAGCCGGTGAGCCAGCTCCTGTGTGTATGGGGGCGGGGGGCCCAGGTGGACTCTGGCCAAGGTGCCCCTTGCTTGGTGTCCCAGCTGAGAGCTGACCCCTGAGTGGTGAGACTGTGCCCCAGGTGCGGAGAGGGGGCCACCCCCACCCCTGCAAGACGCCGGGACCTCCTGGAGCCCTTTGCTGACTCGCTGAGCAGAGGGCCGGGAGCCAGGAGGGGGCCTGTCCTGCCTCAGCTGTATGGCCCCCCCACCTCTGGTGTGGACAGAGGGGAGCTCCCACCCTGCTCTCTGGCAGCGGGCCCTGCTCACACGGGTGGGGAAGGATGGGGAAGCACTGGGGACGAACGTGGGGGGCTGTATTTGTTTCCCAGAGCTGCTGGAACGTGACCACAAGCCCAGGGGCTTCACGCAGCACACATTTGTTCTCTGACGGTTCTGGGGTCAGAAGTCCAAAATCAGTCCCATTGAACTAAAGTCCAGGTCGGGGCAGGGCTGGTCCTCCGGAGGCTCCGGGGGAGAACCTTCTCCTGCCTTTTCCAGCTTCTAGAGGCGCCGCGTCCTGGGCTCGGGGCCCCTTCCTCCATCTGCACAGCCCGCAGCGCAGCGTCTCCCGTCTCTCTCTGCCTCTCACCCTCCTCCTCCCTCTGACGAGGACCCTGTGGTGACACTGGGCCCCGGGGATCCAGGGTCATCCCCATCTCAGGGGCTTTACTTAATCCCGCCTGCAAAGTCCCTTTCCCGTGTGAGGTGACATGTCCACAGGGCCCTGGACCAGGATGGGACATCTTAGGGCTGTTGCTCCCCTGGCCCCAGGCTCTCTGGTCTGGTTGTGCTGCCTTGTGTGTTTGCTGGGGTCCCGTCACAATTCCACGGGCTTCCGTTTTCCATCCATGTCTCTCCTGTGACGTTCGGTGGCTTTGCATCAGCGCTTGCTCATGGACACCTCTAGGCTGGGAGGTATTTGCCTTTCGGGATAGATTTGGAGAGAGATGGCTGGGGTTGGTGATGACCGTTTCACAGATGCTGAGTCTCACGCCCGTGAGGTGGTCCTGAGCAGCGGGTGGTCTCCGTGTTGCCTAGGGGCTCCCCGTGATGGCAGCCCCCCGTCCCCTCCCCTCCTCTCTCCGTGGCGAGGCCAGACTGTGACTCCACGGAGGCCCAGTCCAGGCCCAGGAAGAGGGGCCCGCGCTGTGGGCCGGAGGGTGGGAGGGCGGTGCCTGGTGGCACAGGCTGTGGGGGGGGCGCTCCCTGGGCCGTGCGGGCCGAGTGCCGACGGAGCTCCACGGGCTGGGTGTGCCTGCGTGCGTGAGTGTGTGCATGAATGTATATGTGTGTGTGTGTGAGTGTGTGTGTGTTTGCCTGTAAGTGTATGTGTGTGAGCGTATGTGTGTGTACGTGAGTGTGTGTGTGGGCCCTGCTCGCCGGCCTGGAGGGTGCCCTGTGGGGTGGGGCGGTGGCCTGGAGGACAGCTGCCCCGTCTCCCGGTGAGTGTCCTCTAAGGCCGCTCCCCGGCAGCTCCCCCGAGAGCCGCTAGGTGGCGCTCCCGCCCTTCCCCTGGCTGGCCAGCGGCTCCCCGCGCCCCGTGGACATGTCCCCGGTTCTCCATCCTCTTAGAGTCCTGACACGTGGGCAGTGCGCGTCCCCGAGGCCCCGGGAAGGGGCAGGGGGGTGAGGACCGCCGGGGCAGGTGGTGGGACGTCTCTGCAAGGCTCTGCTCCGTCCTGGTTCTGCTCGGGGTCTGCCAGCCAGAAGCATCTTAAGGGAGAAAATCCACCTTTTCCTTAAAAACAAAAAAAGGAGGAGAGAGAAAGAAAGACGCGTCTGCTGAGTCCGGGCAGGTGCCGGGCGCGGGCAGGGTGAGCGTTCAGATGCGGCCGTGTGCGAGGACGGGTGACCCGGGACAGAGCGTGTCCTCGGGGGCGTGCCCGTGGCGGTGGCGAGGGCGCCCAGGGCAGGGCTGACTTGGGACGTGGCGTCAGGGAGCCCAGCGAGGAGGCCCGCCGGGCCGAGAGGGGGTCCACAGAGAAGGGTTGGAAGGCGGCAGGACTGGCTTCGAGGGAGGTGACGCACATAGAAGGTCCCGAGAGCCGTGCGTGGGCGGGCACCCTGGGGACGTGAGGGCAGCAGCCCCCTGGTGATGGGGCAGGACCGACGCCTGTCGCCAGTGCTCAGGGTTCTCCAGGCGTCGCCCCCTGGGGACAGCCCCTCTGCCCCTGCTGTGCCACACTGCACCCGTGTCCCCTGGTGTGCACCCCTTCCCCACAGCCCGGTTCCCGAGAGCGCTAGGGGAGCAGTCAGCAGGGCCGGCGCTGGACACAGTGGCGTTTCCTCTGAGGGAAGAACATTCCGGAAGGCACCTTGACCTTGGTCTTGATTTCTGGTCCTGGAGGGGGTGGGATTGTGCGTGGGGTTCCCTCACGCTGACCGAGTGTGGCCGTGGGAAGGGGCTTCCCAGTCGTCGTGCTGGGCGCCCTGCCTGCTCTCTCCCCAGGACCGGGTGGGGCCCCAGATGTAGGCATAGCACCCCACACCCGTCCTACAGAGCGGGGATTGGCCAGGCGACCACATGTTACCATGTGTGCCTTCCCGCCAGACCGTGGACCCCGTGAGGGCAGGACCCCTGGCCCCAGCAGGGCCTGGCACAGAGATGGCTCAGTGACCGTCAGGAGACCTGGGTGCTGGGACACGCTGACCTTTAACCTCTCTGGCCCTGGTGCGCTGAGGTTTATGTTGTGTGGAGTCCTCCAGGCCGTGCTCCCTCTTGGGGCCGACAGGGACACCAGCCCTCAGGGGGCGGTGAGGTGCGCTCTCGTCGCTGGGCTCAGCGCCCCCCGGGAGCGGGTGCCCCCCGCCCGGGGGAGGGGCCGCTCTCGGGAGATCAGCTCACACGTCTGTATCTCTCATCATACGGCTCCTCCCACCTTGACACTGGCTTAATTGCAACCATTCTGGAGTATTTTGGTAGCACTCTTTTTTAAGCATCGAGGCACTCAGGTTTACAGCGTTTTATGAAGTCCTTCTGGGTCTGTCGCTTCTGGGTAGTGTGATTTGTGTGTCCGAGTGACGCAAGCAGCCTGGTGTCGATGACGGCGTGGGTCGTCTGGAAAGGCGGTGTGATCTGTGCTCTCGGGCAGCCAGGCTGAGAGCATCTGAAGCGTCTGAGTGCTTCACATCCCTCCTGAGACGGGGTTTAAAATAGACCCGGCACTCGTAGCCTGCCCCCGGCCGGCCTTCCCGCGGCCCAATGGTCAGTGAGGCCACGAGGGCGGGCGGGAGGGGACATAGGGGTGGGGGTGGGCACGGGCGTGGGCTCCTGTGCAGGGCAGTGCCTGGGTGGTGGGGCAGCCTGGGGGCCCGGCGTGCAGAGGGCCATGCCCCCTCGACCCTGCCGTCCTGGGCTGGACGCCTGCCCCCAAGCAGGGCCCTCCTAGATCCTGCAGGTGGGGGTGGCTTAGCGGAGGTGACATCCCCACAGCCCGTCCCAGGGCCGCTCTTCGGCAATCTGCCACCGGGTCCCGCCCCTGTGGTCCCAGGCCTCCTTAGCTCACGGGCCAGCGGACGGCATGTCCTCAGGAAGTGTAACCGACGTGTGTGCCACGCTCACCTGTGGCGTTTCAGCTTCAGATGTCACGCTAAACACGGCGTGTGCAGCAGTCCCGCCCCACGCTGCGCCTTCCCTCCCGGCCTCCTGCTGCTTCCACGGGCCCACAGGAGAGCCCAGGGTCCTGGTCAGCCCCGTCCCCCCGGGTTGAGCTGTGCCTCCCGAGGAAGCGAGGAGCGTGGCTGCCGTGGTTCCGGCGCTGCCCCCCACCCCGGGAGGGGGCCCTGTGGCGTGTCCTGCCCGCCTGCAGCGGGACACTGGCTGTCGTCGGGCTGCCGAGGCCTCCCCTGGCGGCTGGCAGGTGACAGCCTGGGTGCAGGCAGGGCTGCCCGGTCGCTTGTTTTTGCCGCTCTGTTGTAGATGCTTCTGGTGGGAGAAAGCCCGTCCGGGTGAGGGCTCGGCTGAGGCCACAGCGGGTGTGCTCCAGCTGAAGGAACGGGGATGTGGAGGGTCCCTCCCCCTTCTGGCCTCCCAGACTCCCTCTGGACTCCCGAGTTCTGTCTCTGGTGGTTTCCTCGTGGCTACCCCGGCCCCTCCTGCCCTCCAGCCCCAGTTTCCTGGGACACGTCTCCCAGTTGCAGGTGTCAAGGGGGCAGGGGCGAGGGTCTTGCTGATTGTGATCCTGTAAAGGGTGCAAGCCCGCCCCCCCAACTCGTGGAGGGTCCTGGGTGCGATGAGGGGATCCTGCTGTGC